TCGTGTATCATCTTGATTGTGCAAACGTAGTTACTGTTTACCACTGCAAAAAATATATTTACCCTTGAACATTTTCAGCCTTCCCTATCCCATTCCAGCTGGAGTTCACAAGCATCGATTTGACATTATTTCTGAATTATCAAGAAATCGTTTGAGTGGTTATAATCACTTATTGTATCCAAATAGAGATAGGAAAATATCACCGTAAACTCCCGGTACAAAATATCTTATACATGTGGAGATTATGATGATGTTGGGATCGACTTGAAAGCACCTTTTTTGAAATTCTAAAAAATTCTCATTCTTGAAATAATCTAATTTTTTTGAAATAATATATTTCAATAAATTTCATATCAGTTAATCTGGATCTGCTATTCCATATTCACTTCTTATCTGGAAGGCATTCCAGTCAACCATTGAGTACTTGTTGAGGCTACATTCTTCGTATATATTTCAACAAGGCAACCGTTAGGAGAAGACACAATATTTTATTTTTTAAATTAATGTCAACAATTTATGAGTTGTCTTATCCATCACCGGCATGAATTGAAGTGTTACCGTTGTAGTCCCTTGACCTAAAATTGGAGTTTTAGATGGATTGCATTCTCTCAACCTCTTTATTCGCTATTTAATTAAGATAATTCTGACTAAATCACGGTTTCATTGTTATTTCCAATTATTTTATGTTAACTAAAGATGTTGAATAAACTAGTTTGTGTGCAAACTCTAATTTCCAAGGTTTATTGGTTACTTTTAAAGAACTTTTAAGGTTGAAATTGTAATGTGTAACATTCAGCCCATGAATTGGGGTTTGGCAAATTAAGTTTTGAAATAGGGTGGGTTGTTCAATTGAACGTATGAAATTTCAATTGGGGGCATGGAAGCCAAGGTATTGAGGTTTATTGGTTTTGGCTGAAATTTTGTGTTTCCAATAAGGAATGGATTCTAACAGTTAATAGAATCCTTTTACTAGCAAACATATATAGTTATTAGTCGATTTACTTTCCCATTATTTTTGACCAAAAGTTTATAATTTAACCTTACAAATTTTTTGAATTTGATGATTATTATTAGGTATTTAAGAGAGGAGAATAATATTTATTTGCTTTTTTTTACACAACATTTTTAGATTTATTCAAAATATATGTTATTTGGATTTTTATACGCTTATTTTTAGTTTAACAAGTTGGTTTATTTTAGATTTTGTATAAGATACGGGACTTTTTTTATGAGTTTGTGGGCATAAAAGGAATTCACTACGACACTCCGATCGAACGGAAATGTCAATTTTTAAACAAATCACTTGCTTATTATTGAGCTTTTACTTTTTTTCATTTGTGGAAACTTTAATATTCATTATATATTGAATTTTATTTTAAGGTGAAATATTCTTCTTAAGGTGTTAATTCATCACAGATTTTATAAACTTTTGATTATTATGAAAAGTACAATTGTGATTTATTGCCTCAGGACAGAGGTTGATTTTAAGCCTGGAAAGAAAATCCTCGTATGAAGCGCATCCAAATTGTTAAGTAGCTGACTATATTTGTACGACTCGTATTCAAAGTTTGTGAATGCATTTCTTTTCATGAGTTGTGTTCATGTGGTGATCTAATATAGCACCGGATTAAAGATTGCTAGTCGAAGTAGAATTTTAATTTCTTTCATTTTCGCTCCATTTAATATTGGCCATTAAATTTTGTAACACTAGTGTTGTAATTTTCACTTCCAAGCACAACTGTGGAGGTTAACTTGACTCTGAGTGCGGAAGGGAAGTTTTCATTCCTAGACAAATTTTATTATCAAGTAGTATCCTTGTGAACAAAACAAACTATAAAATGGGGCACTTTTACAACTTCCAAAATTTTCCCATTTGGTAAACTCACCCTCAACATATGGAACCACCCTAGGCTTCCTCGCTTCTTTTCGGTCTTCCCTACAGGTGACGTCACTTCTTTGGGACAATCGGCCTAGGTTACCTTTTTTCTTTTACCTCCATACCTTCCATGATTCCTTTTTGTGAAATTAAATGAGTCTAAAACCAATTCAATAAAACATACCTCTATACGACGATCTTACTTCCTGAAACATCAAAAATATCCTCCAAACTTTACTTGATTTTCATTCCTTATCTTTGCTATTATAGTATCATCTCCATTTTTTCTCCACGCATCTTTCCCTACCATGATTTTCAGACAAAAATGGGACAGGGTCGGTCCAACGGGATTGTCTCCCATGGCAATTACCATGAAACTAACGTTCCCAAGATGTCATATCTCTAAATTTAGCCCCTACGGTTCCAAACATCCAACCAGGGAATGGCTCTCGCTATATTGGGCATTTATACCATTATTGGAGATTTGTCCGATATGGATCTCACCACTTCTGTGTGGTGGAGTTTCGAATTATCTCTTTATATTTTGTTGTGAACCTCATTGTGATGTGTTAAAAAATGACTTTTATGCTTAACGATGTTTTTGAGGTTTACTTAGTTTCAGTTTTCAAATGATGGTTTAGGGCATGGAAAGTTTTTCCAACAATTACTCAGAAAGACTGGTGCGAAAACCCTTTCTGGGATTTTGTCTTTATAAAGGAACTTTTTAAGGGCTTTCCAAGTTTAAAAAACCTTGACTTTTCGGATTTTACAATTTGGACTTTTCCTTATGTGCACTTTTGTGCATGGAGAAGGAGGATGTTAGAGTGAGACACTACGATGGGAATTGCACTTCAATTTGAACCATTTATAACGTTCTGCCTTTTTAATTTGGAAAATGAATTCAGCGTTTTGGGTTTTATTTTGGATGATTCAACTTAGTTCTACAATTTCTTATATTTAGGGCATTTGGTGGTTAAATTTAAAGCGGGTTCATAAAACAGATTGTACCGTTCTTATTTTTGTATGAAAAGATGGAATTGCCATGTGGTTTTCATTTATCATTGGAATAACGATTTTCTTTTTGATTGTCATATATTTCACCTTTGGTAGACTTACATATTAAAATTAAACTTTCAACTATTGTTATTAATAAGAAGTTACTATCTTCTCATGCAACAAGATAACTGCAAGGTCTATTCTTCCGGCATACTTTAAATGCATATATAATTGTACATAATTTGGACTATTGTTTCTTTTATACATATATACTTGGTATGATTGACGTTATATGAATATTCACGTTTTGTGATTTTTCTTAACCTACTACAATGAATCTAAAATATTCTGCCCTTTTTATATTTTGTTAAGTGACTTGTATTTGCATTTTTTTGAATTTCTTTGCAAGTGGTTTGAATGGTTTGTTTTGGTGGATTTCTAGGTGCATTAGAGCAAAAGCCTTTTATAATTGACCATAGAATGGGTATTTTAAGCATCATAATGGCTATTAGTACGGTCACAATGTTTTCGGTTTTTGAACCGGTTTTGGTTTCGCAAAAGTTAAATTAGTGTCCCCAAAAAATTCAAGTGACCAAGTAATGTGAAAACATTTGTTTAGGTGTTTCTGTAAAGATCTTATTTTTCGGTAGGCAAGTTAAACTTTTTTTCCCAAGTTTGATGTCCCTTAAGGATTTGTGGATTTCCTTTGTAGGCCAAAATTGCGAATGTGTTTTAGCGCGATAATTTCTGATGTTTTCATAATAACTTTTTGCACAGGTGGATTTGTGAATTGGGTTTTAGGTATTTAGGAGCCTGCCAGTTTTTTAAATTCCAGTCTTTTTTGATTGACTAGATTATCTTATATTAACGTTTTTTAATATTGTTTACTAAATTTGCTGCATGGAAGTTCACTAGGTTTTTCATCGTAGATTTTGAATCGCACTACCTTTTAACATTGTAACACCGCTTACTACAACGATTAATTAATATGCTCATCTTAGTTTTACAGCGCAATTAGTAAATAAGACAGTGTTGCGGTTTACGGGTATTATAGCGTTGTCTTGTTACATATGTTTTTTTGATTATTCAGTTGGTTGGCTTAATCTGTAAATATTTGATGATCATTGATGTAGAATCTTTATTTTAAATTTTGCCACAAAGTATCATGAAAAATAATTCCTTAGTCTTTTTCAAGGAGCATAGAAAATTCCTTCTTAAACATCATATATCAAACAGACCCATGAAAGTTCCAAGTCAAGACGTAAAGTCATGACTTTTGGTAAAAAAAATTAGAGTCAAAAGTCATATTTGACTCAATTCCTTCTCCAGTGCACTGAAAATTTAGATTTAAAAGTCATATTTGACTTTGCTTATGGCCAAAATTTGTGTCCAATCTAAAAGCCAAATGAATACATTAATGACACGTTTACTAATTTGTAATCAGAATAGAGAGAATTAAATTGAGGAGTAATCATAATCAAATTCTTATAAAAACTATTTACTAAACTATCTGGAATCGGAATATGAATGATGTTGACTCAATACAAGCTGTTTACCAAACACCCCTAAGTTGGTATTAAAACTAGTTTAATTACTAAATTGCCCATGTCCTAAATAACTTCATTTATGGGCTAGTTAATAAATTTTAATTTCCAAAACAATATACACGTAGACCTATTTTTATATATAAATATTTATGAATAAATAAATAAGCAAATAAGATAGGGAATTGTTATTAGCACTTCAAAAATCTTATTTGACACTCCAAACAAGAAAAATACACTTGTGAGGAGTGTAAAATAAGATTTTTGGAATGCTAATAACAATTCCCATAAGATAATAGATAAAGGGGGAAATTTTTTTATTTTAACCATTTAACCTCTTTAATACTTAACCAACAACAAAATTTAAATTGTTAATTTATAGTTTATTTTACCCAATATTGCCCTATAATTATTATTAAGTACAAATGAAACTAATAAACGGGTTGAGACCCATCTAATCCGGTGTTTCCAGGTGAGTTTTGCATGTTTGATGCGTTTGTTTTACATATTGTTTTTGTGCATGTTTGATCGTTTTGTTTTTCAGTTTCGGGAAACAGTGCTTTTTAGATTTTGGGATTTTTTATTCAGATTCTTGGAACCATCTGTGCTAAAGGTATATAAATGTATTATTTGTTTTTTCCTTTGTTTTCATTTCATGGATGTTTGCCAAAGAAACGATTAGCCTGAAAGAGAGGAAGGCATTTCTGGGATTATACTTGGGAAACAAGACGATATTGACAGAGTTGATAGTTCCGACTGTGATGACAATGATGTTGGGGATAAGGAGTTGGCAAAGCCCCTTGAACAATCACACGTGTACCTCTCTAATGCTGAGGTTCAGATCAATTCCGGAAGGATTCCAATCTGGCAAAAGTCTAAGGTACCTTTCATATTTTGATAGCGAGATCCCTTTGCTTATCACCATTGTCAAACATGTTTGTGATCCTTTCATTTATGTCTTAGATATATTTCTATACAATGAGTCCGTCTGCTGCTGGTGAGCTAAATTTTGGTAAAGATCTTACCGGTGGAGAGATGGAAATAGAGACGGTTCCTGTTCACAAGGTTGAAATGAGGCGGAATGATTTGCTACCTATTGTTCATCCTTTTCGTAGGTTTCTGTCTCATTGGAATGGCAGGTAATGTTACTGTTGTTTTCATGTTAAAATGGACATGAATTTGGTTATTGTTTGTAGCATTTTGTACGAATCCATCTTGCATTTTTTTCTTGCTCCTGGAGGTTGTTGATAGAGATTTTTACCACCTGCAAAAGTAGGAATAAAAACACTTAAAAATACTTGCAAGAGAACAAAGTAGTTGTAGTATAAATGGCTCAAGAAATGTCGTTTCCTCAGGGATTGAATGAATAATATGTATTTATACTAATTCTTAGCTAATTATTTGAAAACAAGGATTGGAAAAGGTTGGTTTTGAATTTAAATGTAATAAAAACGAATTTAATAAAAGTAATTTAGGAAAAACAACAAGTAACCAATTAAGAATAAATCAAATAAAAAAGAAAAGGTTTTGAGAAATAAATTTGGAAAAGCACTAGGGTTCCGTCGTTCCCTTAACAATCTTATGTAGTTTTACCAATTACTTATGAATTACACATGCAATTTTGAAGGTTAGGTTTTCCTAATGCATATTCTACTCGTGATATTCAAGCTATAACGTATATCAAACATGCAATCTGTCTGTGGTATTCAGATAAAATATAAATATGCATGACTCATTATGCTTTGTGAAAACCTTTTGAAAAACCATGCAACCCTTAAGACGTAGTATTCGCCCTAGGTGAAATAACAACTATCAACCACAAGAAGCAATACTCAACCCCCTAGTGGTATTTCGACCAAATTGCATTCGATTACTTATCTAAACATCCTAATGGTAGCTAAGCATTAAGATATATAAACAGTTTAAAGCATAGTGATTAATAATTCAAAGCATGCATGCATAATATCATAAGCAATTAAATAAAAACTACATATTCATGCTAAGGCTCAAGGCATTGCCCAAGTAAAAGAAAATTAGTTACGAACAACTATAAAACAAAAGGAATTCTATTGAAATAGAAAAAAGATAGAAAACACCTTGAAAGCAAACTTCAAAAACTCTCTAGAGTAGTGCGTGCGTTCCCCCCTAAGGCTAGCCCAAAAAGGTTTATTTATACTACTCTAAATAAAATTCTCCTAATAAAAGGTCTTAGAATAAAACTAGGAAACCTAATAAATTGAAATAAAATAGGAAACATAATCCTAAATTAACTTGTTAAATTCACCCAAAAATCTGCACAGCCACGTTTTGGACCCAAATCAGCTCCAAAACTGGCCCAAAATAGTTGGATCTAAAGCTTGGACTATTCTGAACAATTCTATAGAAGGCCACAAACCCATCTAAGGTCATCTTGGGCTACAAAGTAACCGCTTGGTAGAAAAATCCCAAATTTTGACACAAACAAGCCAAGAGACAGACAAACGTCCTCCAATTTGAATCACTTCAAAATTTGTCCATTTGATTACGTTTTGCTCCAAAGGAAGTCAAATGTCCTATATTACAAATATAAAACAAAGTATCAAAATTCTACCAAAATAATTACCAAATTACACTAAGAATAGAGTAAAATATATAATATAATATTGACTCTGTTAAGCTTCCTTGAAAATCTGCATCTTTGCATTTCTTATGTGCTTTGTGTTTGTGGTTCTATATGGTTTGATGACCTTTTCTGACAGGCTAGAGGTTTCTTGAGCATGCTTTTTTAAAATAACAAGTAAAAAGTATCACAAATATTGCTTTTGAATGTTTTAATTTTTAAACACTAATCGAATTTGTTGGGGAATTTATGCAGGCATCTAATTGGAGGAGGATGCTCGAGTTCATCTTCTGATTCTCACGAAGATAAAGAAAAGTTTCAGGAAAAATATTGGTAATTTCTGGTGAGAATTTTACACCTATAGGCTCAGCTAAAAACCCAATGCTGGTAAGAATTCTGGAATTTCTGATGTAATATTATTATTGTTTTATGAGTACAAGAGGATTTTCTAATGCAACCATTTTTCTTTAACGAATGTTTAGGTGATTATCCATTTATTCTCCAACCTGGAGATGGTCAGAAAGGCGAAAAAAGAGGGAAAAATGTGCTTTGTTGCTGGAAAAACCACTGAACCGGTAGAACTTTCCTCGGTTCTTCAACTCAATTCGAATAATTTGAATAATTTTTTTACTCAAAAAAGCTAATGTTTCCTGGTGAGTTTTATAGCCTTCTCAGTGTGGGTGTTTCAATTTCGATTTTGCGATTTTGGATTTGCAAATTTGTTTTCTGTTCAAATTTCCTTTTGTGATTTTAGGGGGTTTTTGTTTATCGGTTCTCTCACTCATCTCTCATCTCTCTCTCTCTCTCTCTCTCTCTCTCTCTCTCTCACTTTTCTACTAGATGTCAATGTTTTCAAAAGTGGCCAAAAGATTTTTCTGATAGGACAAGGATTGTCTGCCCTCCCACTTCCAATGCCCTCCTGTTTGTGTAGTCACGGTTAAGTCACGTCAACATTTTATATTACTATTCATTTTTGTCTTATTATCTCTATAAAAAAAATAATATAAAATGTTGACATGGCTTAATCGTGACCATACAAAACAGAAGAGTACGGAAGGGCATCAGAAGTGGGAGGGCAGACAATCCTTGTCCTTTCTGATAGATGTCAATGTTTTCAAAAGTGGCAGAAAGCAGTATGACAGAAAGCAGAGTGTGATAGCCTTCTTCCTAGCAGAAGGCTCTGTGTGTGGGAGGAGAATTCTCTCCCCTCCTAATCTTTCTTCCCTTTTCTCCTCATCTATTTAAACAGTCACAGTTAAACCATGTTAATATCTTATATTGATTTTTTTATAAATATAATAAGACAAAAAATAATATGTGAAAGGAGGGGAGGAAAGAGGCTGAGAATAGGAGAGGAGAGAATCCTACTCTCCTAATTTCTCTTCCCTTCCCTTCCCTTCCCTTCCCTTCTATTTAAACGATTAAGTCACGTTAATATCTTATATTAATTTTTTATATAAAAATAATAAAACAAAAAGCAATATATGAAAGGAGAGGAGGAAAAAGAACGGAAATAGGAGATGAGAGAATCGTACTTTTGAGCATACAAAAGTCTTAAAGTTGGTGTGATATTGTCAAAAGTTGAAGACTTTTGTTCACCTTTCTTTTTCTGCTTTTGCATGTATTAGTCTTTGTGGTTTACAGTGCATTCATCCTTTTTCAATTATTGTTGCCTATTCAATTAATTTGATTCATAAACATTAGTGTACATTTATATTGGCTTATTTGTTATCTGCATTTGTTATTAGAAATGCAAATATGTGGTGTGAAAGGCAAAATTACCACGTTGCAAGTTGATGCACTTTTTTAGTGATTGCTAATTTTAATAAAAAAAAATGTTTATTATGCCATGCATCATATATTCATATGTTGGCCATTAATCATATATTCATGTGTGGCAGTGCCATTATATGAAATTTTAGGAAAAAATAAAATTGTCCATTCTACATATATTTGACCTTCATTCTACCAATAGAGTTATCATTTCATCTCTACGTTTACATCCTATACAATATGAATTTGTTGATATCTAATTTCATTGCACCTTTTATTTTATTTTCCTTTTGACTAGGCTGCTTTCTTGGCAATCAAGAATACAAGGAAACTTTGGATATTCCAGTGAACAATCTTTTATCATATAAATCAAACAATACTCCCTAATACTTCTTTCCATGTAATTCACAATCTTTTATATGTAATTACTACTATTGATCAAAAGCCACAGAAACTAAGTAAATAAACTCACATCTAATCTTTCTAAAAAAAAAATAAAAAAAAAAAATCTATGATCTTTTGTATGTGGTCCATATCAATCAAAACTTTTCCATGTAAAAATCTTCTTAATGTTGTCAATATAAATAATATTAATCTTTTATATTTTTTAGACATAACCTTTCATATAATTTGTAATCTCATAGCAACGCGCGAGTACGAATTTCTAGTACTATACTGTGGAAGGATGAACATTTCATGCTCTCTTTTCTTTTTTGGGAACTTGGTTAATTAAAAAAAAAACATTTTTTTCTGAAACAAATAACATTTTCTGATACGGTGAATGAAGTTGAAAGTGCACCATAAAACTAATTGCAATATGGAGGAGGGTAACTCAACATTAGCATCATTGCCCCAATTATTTCTGCCCATTTAAACAAGTTGCAATAACTACAACGGTGATGCAAGTGAATTTGTCAAGTTATGGTTGTGCATATAAATATTTAGCGTACGCGATATATGTACTTTGCAGTACCGCATGCATTACATTAGCATATAGCGATGGTGGGAAGATGCCTCAAAGTTTTATATGCATTCACGCTCCTTGGACTTGTCCCCCATGTCATCGTTCCTTCCTTGTCCCTTGGATTCGATAATTTTGGAGTTGGCTATGTAGATGCTGAGGTGACGATGAGAAGGAAAGCGAAGCACTCCTAGCATACAAACAAGGCTTCACCATGGATGAGAACAACCGAGTAACGTTTTCTTCGTGGGGAACAGATGGTGCAAAACAAGATTGCTGCAGATGGAAAGGAGTCGCCTGTGACAACCGAACAGGCCATGTTCTGAAACTTGATTTTGGCGAGGAATTCCAATTGAAAGTAAATCAATTTCAACCATTGAGAGGTAAAATTAGCTCTCAATTGATTGAGTTGCAGCATTTGGAATACTTAGACCTCAGCTGGAATGACTTGAATCGGAGCCAAATTCCAGAGTTCATTGGTTCTCTCAGCAACTTAAGGTACCTCGATTTCTCTTAATTGTTTTTATTTTGATATCTCGATCTCAATTTTAATGACTTCAAAGTGAAAAACCTCCATTGGCTCACTCATCTTTCTTCTTTAATTTACTTGACCATCGATTCTGTCAATCTCAGTAATATTTTTGACTGACCAAGAACTGTGAATAACCTTTCAAAACTAGTGGACTTGACATTAGATTGGGATCTTGCAAAATGGGCTCGAATTTCCCAAAATGGCTTCAAACTCAGAAGAATTTTTCGGAGCTTGATATTTCAAATATCCTTCCAAGTTGGTTTTGGGGCTATGCCGTAAAGTAATGTTTCTAGATCTCTCCACAACCAAATTAGAGGGACATTTGCAAATTTGACATTGGAGTTTGCATATTAACCTGATCCAAATTTGAGTTTTAACAAATTGGGATCTCAACAACAACAACAACAACAAAGCCTTTTCCCACTAAGTGGGGTCGGCTATATGAATCCTAGAACGCCATTGCGCTCGGTTTTGTGTCATGTCCTCCGTTAGATCCAAGTACTCTAAGTCTTTTCTTAGAGTCTCTTCCAAAGTTGTCCTAGGTCTTCCTCTACCCCTTCGGCCCTGAACCTCTGTCCCGTAGTCACATCTTCGAACCGGAGCGTCAGTCGGCCTTCTTTGCACATGTTCAAAATCACCGGAGCCGATTTTCTCTCATATTTCCTACAATTTCGGCTACTCCTACTTTACCTCGGATATCCTCATTCCCAATCTTATCCTTTCTCGTGTGCCCACACATCCCACGAAGCATCCTCATCTCCGCTACACCCATTTTGTGTGTACGTGTTGATGCTTCACCACCCAACATTCTGTGCCATACAACATCGCTAGCCTTATTGCCGTCCTATAAAATTTTCCCTTGAGCTTCAGTGGCCTACGACGGTCACACAACACGCCGGATGCACTCTTTCCATCCAGCTCGTATTCTATGGTTGAGATCTCCATCTAATTCTCCGTTCTCTTGCAAGATAGATCCTAGGTAGCGAAAACGATCGCTTTTTGTGATCTTCGCTAGATTGCTCCGGTCATTAGTGTGGATAAGTATATAAATGGATAGAGATAGGAAAGCAAACACAAGATGTACGTGGTTCACCCAGATTGGCTACGTCCACGGAATAGAAGAGTTCTCATTAATTGTGAAGGGTTTACACAAGTACATAGGTTCAAGCTCTCATTTAGTGAGTACAAGTGAATGATTTAGTACAAATGACATTAGGAAATATTGTGGGAGAATGATCTCGTAGTCACGAAACTTCTAAGTATCGGAGTGTGGTGTCGTCTTGACTTGCCTTATCTGTCTCATAGGTAGATGTGGCATCTTCTCTGGAAGTACTCTTCCTCCATCCAGGGGTGGTATCTTTAACTGGTGGAGATGCACAAGGTAATGTATCAATTTCACTTGAAGCTTACTTGTAGTTTCAGGCTTGGTCAAGCGCGATACAAACCATGTAGTAGGAGTCCCCCAAGTCGCCGAGCTAGGGGGTCTGCTGAAAGAGGTGACAGACAAGGTAAGCAATCAGAGCTCCGACTGATTGTTCACCTTCTCCCCATCTTACAGCAGCATGAAGGATAAAGAGAAGAAAAATGAGAAGAGATGATATGAGATACTTTTGCTTTTGAAGAAGTAACTTTCCACAGGCTTATTCTTGAACTGAGCTGGAGGGGTTTTCTGGTTTCCTCCAGAGTATAAGGCCGACTGAAGAATTTGAGGGTCAAAACAAGTCCATCAAATCTAGAGTACGTTCCACCCTGCTGATATGGGATACTTTTGCTTTTGACAGAGTAATGAATGTATCGGCACGTGTGCTGTTACGCTTGTCTCCACATGCTTCCTTGTATCCTTCGCACTTGCCCTATCTGTTCCTCAAGCAGATGCGGAATCTTCCCTGGAAACATAAGATGTTGAAGATGAGTACTCGAGAGCAATGCCAGGTAAGTAATCAGGTAAGGGGTTCCAGGCAGTCAGTTCCTGGCTGGGAAGCTTGATTCCAAGTGCTGACTGATTGCTCTCTTTCTCCTTGTCTTGCAGGTAAAAACAAGGCCAAAAGAAAAGACAGGGAAAAAGCATGATATGGGATACTCTTGCTTTTAACCCTGATGATATGAGATATTCTTGCTCTAGTATAGCTTGTTTGCAGAGGTATTATCGGGGGGAAAAGAAAGCTGAATATTTCGAAAGGCTTCGTTGGGAGTGCCCTCTCAGATATGATGAAGGGTTGAGCATTTTTGCAGGTCTGCCTGTCCGTTGGGGATGGAGGTCGACATATATAGGAGTCTCCCTAACAACAAGTAGTAATGCTATTCCTTTACCCTGCTTGGTCATAGCACGGTAGTGGGAGCTGCCAGTTTCACATGTTTTAACTCTGTCAGAGCACTTTGAAAAAGTGGTCTGTGGTATCTGGCTCTCGAGATTCGGAGAACGATGCCTCTTCGATTTTTGAGAAAGCAATCATGCTGGGGGTATGACTCTCGAGATTCGGAGAGCAGTGTCTCTTCGATTTTTGAGGAAGTAATCATGTTGGGAGTCTGGCTCTCGAGATTCGGAGGGCGGTGCCTCTTCGATTTTTGGAGCAAGCAATCTTGTTGGGAGTGTTGTCTCGAATGTGAGTAAAGGTTGGGCATGTTTGCTAGTCTACCTTGCCACGAAGCACAAAGGTTGACACACAGGGACTTTCCAATTATCCAGCAATGGTACCGTTCCTTTACCCTCTCTTCGATTTTGAGAAAGTAGTCATGTTGGGAGTCTGGCTCTCGAGATTCGGAGGACGGTGCCTCTTCGATTTTGGAGCAAGCAATCTTATTGGGAGTGTTTTCTCGAATGTGAGTAAAGGTTGGGCATGTTTGCTAGTCTACCTTGCCACGAAGCACAGAGGTTGACACACAGGGACTTTCCAATTATCCAGCAGTGGTACTGTTCCTTTACAGTTGTGGGTAATAATATGGTAGCTAGACCTTCAAAATTTATGTGTCTAAACTTTTGTTAGTGCTGTTTTCTTTGCTATTCTTTTACCTTTCTTGGTCAGAGCGATGTAGTGGGAGCTGCAAGCTTCACGTGCTCAACTTTGGCAGAGAACTTTGGCAAAGTTATTTGTGGTACCCATGAGCTATTGTTGCGTGTGGGAAGTGGGTGATTGAACAGTAAGATTCATGTGCTTTCTACTTCACCAGAAGTCTTCGACAGAATGCCCATAATTTCTGCAAAGCTGAGTGTGCGTGTGACAGGTGCTGACAAGGCTAGAAAAGTAGGTGCCTCTTCGATTTCTGAGATCGGCCCTCGTGGTCTCTGAGCAGCCCAGCTTTTGAGAAAGCGAGCGCCTCTTCGATTGATTCGGAGAACGATGCCTCATCGATTTTTGAGAAAGCAATCATGCTGGGGGTCTGGCTCTCGAGATTCGGGGAGCAGTGTCTCTTCGATTTTTGAGAAAGTAATCATGTTGGGAGTCTGGCTCTCGAGATTCGGAGGGCGGTGCCTCTTCGATTTTGGAGCAAGCAATCTTGTTGGGAGTGTTTTCTCGAATGTGAGTAAAGGTTGGGCATGTTTGCTAGTCTACCTTGCCACGAAGCACAGAGGTTGACACACAGGGACTTTCCAATTATCCAGCAATGGTACTGTTCCTTTACCCTCTCTTCGAATTTTAAGAAAGTAGTCATGTTGGGAGTCTGGCTCTCGAGATTCGGAGGACGGTGCCTCTTCGATTTTGGAGCAAGCAATCTTATTGGGAGTGTTTTCTCGAATGTGAGTAAAGGTTGGGCATGTTTTGCTAGTCTACCTTGCCACGAAGCACAGAGGTTGACACACAGGGACTTTCCAATTATCCAGCAGTGGTACTGTTCCTTTACCCTTGTGGGTAATAATATGGTAGCTAGACCTTCAAAATTTATGGGTCTAAACTTTGTTAGTGCTGTTTCTTTGCTATTCTTTTACCCTTCTTGGTCAGAGCGATGTAGTGGGAGCTGCAAGCTTCACGTGCTCAACTTTGGCAGAGAACTTTGGCAAAGTTATCTGTGGTACCCATGAGCTATTGTTGCGTGTGGGAAGTGGGTGATTGAACAGTAAGATTCATGTGTTTTCTACTTCCCCAGAAGTCTTTGACAGAATGCCCATAATTTCCGCAAAGCTGAGTGTGCGTGTGACAGGTGCTGACAAGGCTGGAAAAGGCTGGAAAAGTAGGTGCCTCTTCGATTTCTGAGATCGGCCCTCGTGGTCTCTGGGGAGCCCAGCTTTTGAGAAAGCGAGCGCCTCTTCGATTTTTGAGATCGGCCTTCGTGGTCTTTGAGCAGCCCAACTTTTGAGAAAGCAAACGCCTCTTCGATTTCTGAGATCAACCCTCGTGATCTCTAAGCAGCCCAGCTTTTGAGAAAGCAAACGCCTCTTCGATTTCTGAGCAGGCGCCTCTTCGATTTCTGAAGCTTCGTCGAGTGCAGATTTTTATAGGGGCTGGCATTAAGTTCCAAAGCACACTTGAATCTCCACCAGTAGAAGCTTCATTCTTGCACTTCTAAGATCTTGATTTGTCCGACCTCTTCTCTCTTCAACACCTTTGAAAATGTCTGGCCCCTCCGACCGTCGTTTTGACTTGAACCTTGTTGAAGAGGCAGCCCCGCCTTCTCCAGACAACATATGGCGCCCATCCTTCGTCTCCCCTACTGGTCCTCTTACCGTTGGGGATTCCGTGATGAAGAATGATATGACCGCTGCGGTGGTGGCCAGGAACCTTCTCACTCCCAAAGATAACAGACTACTTTCCAAACGGTCTGATGAGTTAGCTGTTAAGGATTCGCTGGCTCTCAGTGTTCAGTGTGCAGGTTCTGTGTCTAATATGGCCCAACGCCTATTTGCTCGAACCCGCCAAGTTGAATCATTGGCGGCTGAAGTGATGAGTCTCAAACAGGAGATTAGAGGGCTCAAGCATGAGAATAAACAGTTGCACCGGCTCGCACATGACTATGCTACAAACATGAAGAGGAAGCTTGACCAGATGAAGGAAACTGATGGTCAGGTTTTACTTGATCATCAGAGATTTGTGGGTTTGTTCCAAAGGCATTTATTGCCTTCGTCTTCTGGGGCTGTACCGCGTAATGAAGCTCCAAATGATCAACCTCTGATGCCTCCTCCTTCTAGGGTTCTGTCCAGTACTGAGGCTCCAAATGATCCCCCTCCGGTGCCTTCTCTTTCTGGGGCTCTACCGACTGCTGAGACTTCTCCTAAGCAACCTTTGTGAAGGCTCCCTCTTGTGTGTTTATTTTGACTCATGTATATGTACATATTTGTAGCTTATCGGGGATATCAATAAATAAGCTTTCCTTCATTTCAACGTATTGTGTTAAATACACCAAAGCCTTCTTCGCTAAGTTCTTTGAATTTTCTTTTGTTGAAGCTTGTATGTTGAAGCTTTCTGAGTGGAGCATGTAGGTTGGGGTAGTGTTCCCTTAATTTCCCGAGTGAGGAAAACTTCTCGGTTGGAGACTTGGAAAATCCAAGTCACTGAGTGGGATCGGCTATATGAATCTTAGAACGCCATTGTGCTCGATCCTGTGTCATGTCCTTCGTTAGATCCAAGTACTCTAAGTCTTTTCTTAGAGTCTCTTCCAAAGTTTTCCTAGGTCTTCCTCTACCCCTTCGGCCCTGAACCTCTGTCCCATAGTCGCATCTTCTAATCGGAGCGTCAGTAGGCCTTCTTTGCACATGTCCAAACCACCGTAACCGATTTTCTCTCATCTTTCCTTCAATTTCGGCTACTCCTACTTTACCCCGGATATCCTCATTCCTAATCTTATCCTTTCTCGTGTGCCCACACATCCAACGAAGCATCCTCATCTCCGCTACACCCATTTTGTGTACGTGTTGATGTTTCACCGCCCAACATTCTGTGCCATACAGCATCGCCGGCCTTATTGCCGTCCTATAAAATTTTCCCTTGAGCTTCAGTGGCATACGGCGGTCACACAACACGCCGGATGCACTCTTCCACTTCATCCATCCAGCTTGTATTCTATGGTTGAGATCTCCATCTAATTCTCCGTTCTTTTGCAAGATAGATCCTAGGTAACGAAAACGGTCGCTCTTTGGTATTTCTTGATCTCCGATCCTCACCCCTAACTCGTTTTGGCCTCCATTTGCACTGAACTTGCACTCCATATATTCTGTCTTTGATCGGCTTAGGCGAAGACCTTTAGATTCCAACACTTCTCTCCAAAGGTTAAGCTTTGCATTTACCCCTTCCTGAGTTTCATCTATCAACACTATATCGTCTGCGAAAAGCATACACCAAGGAATATCATCTTGAATATGTCCTGTTAACTCATCCATTACCAACGCAAAAAGGTAAGGACTTAAGGATGAGCCTTGATGTAATCCTACAGTTATGGGAAAGCTTTCGGTTTGTCCTTCATGAGTTCTTACGGCAGTCTTTGCTCCTTCATACATATCCTTTATAGCTTGGATATATGCTACTCGTACTCCTTTCTTCTCTAAAATCCTCCAAAGAATGTCTCTTGGGACCCTATCATACGCTTTTTCCAAATCTATAAAGACCATGTGTAAATCCTTTTTTCCCATCTCTATATCTTCCATCAATCTTCGTAAGAGATAGATTGCCTCCATGGTTGAGCGCCCTGGCATGAACCCGAATTGGTTGTCCGAAACCCGTGTCTCTTGCCTCAATCTATGCTCAATGACTCTCTCCCAGAGCTTCATTGTATGACTCATTAGCTTAATACCCCTATAGTTCATGCAATTTTGTACGTCGCCCTTATTCTTGTAGATAGGCACCAAAGTGCTCATTCGCCACTCATTTGGCATCTTCTTCGTTTTCAAAATCCTATTGAAAAGGTCAGTGAGCCATGTTATACCTGTCTCTCCCAAAAGTTTTCCACACTTCGATTGGTATATCGTCTGGGCCTATTGCTTTTCTATGCTTCATCTTCTTCAAAGCTACAACCACTTCTTCCTTCCGGATTTGACGATAAAAAGAGTAGTTTCTACACTCTTATGAGTTACTCAACTCCCCTAAAGAAGCACTCATTTCATGTCCTTCATTGAAAAGATTATGAAAATAACCTCTCCATCTGTCTTTAACCGCGTTCTCTGTAGCAAGAACCTTTCCATCCTCATCCTTGATGCACCTCACTTGGTTTAGGTCCCTTGTCTTCTTTTCCCTTGCTCTAGATAGTTTATAGATATCCAACTCTCCTTCTTTGGTATCTAGTCGTTTATACATATCGTCGTAAGCCGCTAACTTAGCTTCTCTGACAGCTTTCTTCGCCTCTTGCTTCGCTTTTCTATACCTTTCACCATTTTCATCAGTCCTCTCCTTGTATAAGGCTTTACAAACATTCCTTCTTAGCCTTCACCTTTGTTTGTACCTCCTCATTCCACCACCAAGATTCCTTTTGGTGTGGGGCAAAGCCCTTGGACTCTCCTAATACCTCTTTTGCTACTTTTCGGATACAACTAGCCATGGAATCCCACATTTGGCTAGCTTCCCCCTCTCTATCCCACACGCATTGGGTGATTACCTTTCTCTTTGAAAATGGCTTGTTTTTCTTCTTTTAGATTCCACCATCTAGTCCTTGGGCACTTCCAAGTCTTGTTCTTTTGTCTTACTCTTTTGATATGTACATCCATCACCAACAAGCGATGTTGATTAGCCACGCTCTCTCCTGGTATAACTTTGCAATCCTTACAAGTTATACGATCCCCTTTCCTCATTAGAAGAAAATCTATTTGTGTTTTTGACGACCCACTCTTTGTAGGTGATCACATGTTCTTCTCTCTTCTTAAAGAAGGTGTTGGCTAAGAAGAGATCATATGCCATTGCAAAATCCAAGATAGCTTCCCCATCCTCGTTTCTCTCCCCAAAACCATGGCCACCATGAAAACCTCCATAGTTGCCTGTCTCCCTGCCCACGTGTCCATTTAAATCTCCTCCTATAAATAACTTCTCCGTCTGAGCAATTCCTTGCACCAAGTCTCCAAGATCTTCCCAAAATTTCTCCTTCGAACTCGTATCCAACCCTACTTGAGGTGCGTACGCACTAATCACATTGATAAGTTCTTGTCCTATTACAATCTTGATTGCCATGATTCTATCTCCTACCCTCTTGACATCTACAACATCTTGTACCAAGGTCTTGTCCACGATGATGCCAACACCGTTTCTCGTTCTATTTGTGCCCGAATACCAAAGTTTAAACCCTGAGTTTTCTAGATCCTTTGCCTTACTACCAACCCACTTAGTTTCTTGTAGGCACATAATATTTATCCTTCTCCTCACCATAACTTCCACTACTTCCATAGATTTTCCCGTTAAGGTTCCTATATTCCACGTTCCTAAACGCATTTTGCTCTCTTGAACTCTACCCTTCTGTCCTAGCTTCTTCACCCTCCCCCGTCTAATAGGATCAAAGTACTTCTTTTGTGTGTCCCGGGTAAAGTTGATAGGAGCATATGCTCCCAAACAACTTTGAGTGGAGTCGTTCGAAAAGAAGTTTCTATGGCCCCCTTGCTCATTTAACACTGCATCCGGGTGCCGATGGAGATACAGCGACCCTTGCTCACTTATCACTGTGCTCAGGCCACACAGCGCGCCACTTACGGGTGACGCCCTAGCTTTAGCGCGATTTTGTTCTGGATTCATTTTCATAAGGATTCGACGTGATCATGGAGTGCCGGCTGTCGACTACCTGACGCCCTCCCCCTCCTCCTTTATCCGGGCTTGGGACCGGCCATGTAAGACATAGGCGGAGTTAACAAATTGGGATCTCACTAAGAATAATTTATCAGGATCAATTTCTCCCTTATGTGCAGTCACTGCAAGGAATCTAAACTTTCTTGGTCTCTCAAGAAACCATTTATCTGGAGAACTTCCAGATTCCTGGGCTCATTTTGATGCTCTAGTCGTTCTTGATTTGAGTAATAATGTTTTTTCTGGAGAAATTCCAACCACAATGGGATCACTTTTTGGCATTGAAACAAAGAAACTCAACAACAATGTATTCGTGGGAGAATTGCCTTCCTCCTTGAAGAATTGCAGAGCTAAGAGTTCTTGATGTGGGAGAAATTCAAGCTCAACCATCTCTGGCTCATCTACAGGCATGACTGTAGAATATACTGCGAATGATGGATCCTCAATTTTGAAAGGAAAACTTTATGAGGATGAAGCATCCTTAATATGGAAAGGGAAACTCTCCGTATACAAAACTACTTTGGGACTTCTAATGAGTGATGATCTTTCAAGCAATCGACTAACCGGGGAGATTTCTTTAAATCTGTCGAGAAACCGATTAACAAGTCAAATAACTCCAGAGATTGGAAGGTTGCAATCGTTAGATTCTCTTGATCTATCAAGGAACCAAATATATGGTAAAATTCCAACAAGTGTATTTCAGATACATGGTCTTGGTGTGTTGGACTTGTCAAACAACAACTTGTCTGGCAAAATTCCTATGGGTTCTCTACTCCAAACCCTTGAGCCTTCTGCTTATGCAGGAAATCCTCAACTTCGTGGACTTCCACTTCAAAAGATGTGCCCTGAAGATGAAAAAAGTCAGAAGCAAACTGTCTTTGTGAATAAAGAAGATGAGGATGGACTTATAACGCAAGGATTTTACATCAGTATGGCGATCGGGTTTGTTGTTGGATTTTGGTGCATTTGTGGCACATTGATGTTCAACAGGTCATGGAGATATGCATACTTCAAGTTCTTAAATGTTGTAAACGATTGGGTTTACGTAAGGGTGGAGTTGATCAAATGACAGAGAATGCCTTGACATAGGCAGGGTAAGTACAATCACACATGCATTACACATACAGACCTACATCATCTTCTCATTTCTGTCATGATTAAACTTTTTCCAGTGAAATATTGTCTTTAATCCCTCCTAATGACTGATGTTGTTTTACCTGCATTTTTTTAGATCATGCATATATTTGTGACACTCTTGCATCTGCCATCCAGTTGGAGACGGAGATTGGTGACTGCACGTTTAAAGTCATTATGGACAACTACTAGTGTAAAATGCCTCCGTAATAAGAGAGCATTGCTCGAAAGTTCGAAACAAATAATTTGTTCTTGATTTTGTGGCCTTGTATGTGCTGTGTTGTTATCTAGCTTGTCTTCGAGGGCTGGGTAAGGACCTAGTTGAATATTAGGGTGCACAACGAATAAAATTACAAAATAATAAGAGTATTATTAAACAAACTGTGAATGCCGAAACGACTACAAAACTCTAAGACACTACATTGTAAATGACTTATTCTCAAACTAAATTACAAGCAATATTTATAGAGAACTAAACTTAAGAAGCCCTAACTCGAATGGGCTAAGCCCAAATCCTAAACTAACAAGCAAAACCCAAATACTAAAATAAACTTAAATATTAATATTTTCCAACACCTCCCGTCAAACTCATGGCGGTACACGACATGAGTTTGCCAAAGTAGATATGGATGCAAGCTTTGTTATGCTAACTTCCGATGCCAATTTCAATACGAAATTCCATCGGTGCAAGTGCAAGATTCCAAATTCCAATGCCAATGTCTATGCTGATGCTGATGTCGATGATGCCAATGCCGATGCCGATGATGCCAACACCAATGCCGATGATGCCAACACCAATGCCGATGCCACCTTCCGAACAAACAAACAAAAAAACCAACCAAATTTTTTTCCCTTTGCCCGCATGGGCCTCAAACAAGCAACCAAATTTTTCTTGTTTCTTCCTTTTTTTTACTCCCTTTTTTTTTCCTTCTTTTTTCATTCCATTCTACTTTTTCCTCTTTTTTCCTTTGCAACAATACAGACTTGTGGATACTCCTACAGGCTGCGGTGTTCAAAGGTGCAGAAGCAGAGTCACGGGACCAAAAACGAACGAACAATTTTTTTTCTTCTTGCAAACAATCAATACCAACTAACAATCTGAACATGAACGACAACGGAAACAAGCAACCAGATACCAACCCGAAGCAGATTAAATCCCGAATGATCAAATCTGCTCTGATACCATGTGGAATTTTTCAGGTCGACGGGTCAATGACCCACTTAACCACTTGCACAATCCTCAGATGTGGGGTTTTATCACAAAAGGCCTCGGTATTAGTTAGAGAGAGGTATTTCTATTTAAATTGCTCTTCTCTTCTCCCTCTGTCCAATGTGGGACAAATGAGGATTCCAACACTCCCCCGCACGTAAAACCCCATTTTATGGGTCACACGTGAAAATCAACATCGACAACCACATGGAGCTAATGGGGGCTCACCCATCGCGCGGGGCCAAATGGGGACCCACCAAATCACATGGCAGTACGGGCCCGTCCCCTGGCTCTTATACCAAGTTGAATATCAAAGTGCGAAACGAACAAAATTACAAAATAATAAGAGTATTATTAAACAAATTGAGAATGCCGAAATGGCTACAAAACCCTAAGAGACTACATTGTGAGTGACTTCTTCTCAAACTAAATTACAAGCAATATTTATAGAGAATTAAACCTAAGAAACCCTAACTAGGATGGGTTAAGCCAAATCCTAAACTAACAAGCAAAACTCAAATACTAAAATAAACCTAAATACTAATATTTTCCAACAGACCTTGTACTGTTATTTGTAAGAAATTTTTTAATTGTTATTTGTAAGACTTGGTACTTCTATGAAATGTTTTCTTTGACATTAATTCTTGTACCAATGTCGACACTTGAGCAACATATTTTGAAGAGAAAAAGAAAAAAAAAAACAATGTTCTACAGAAGGCCTATCTAGGATCGCATCTCCTGAGAATTTCCTCTGCCGTTTTGTTCCAGGATTGTGTTTTTATGCAAAAACCTGTCAAATTTATTGATTAATGTATGTAAGACATAATTAGTCAAATCACCCTTACAACCAAATCTTTCATACAAAAACCCACAGAAACTCAAATTGAAGGAAAAAAAATTCACACTACTAGCTTTAATTTTTAAGAGAGAGACTTAAAATAGAGTTTTACTATTTAATATTACGGTCTAGTTGAACATGACAACTGAAGACCAAGCTGCTAACGATCCTCAATTGTGTACAACTGTGACTAAGATTAATGTGAGACCGTTAGCAAGGGCCTTTTAAGTTGTTTTTCAGGACCATGTCGGTAGCTATGCTGGAGGTTTCGTCTGGAAAATCTCGCACGTGATTAATCCCAAAATAGTTGAGATTCTAGCTGCTCATGAGGGTCATTGGTTGGCATCTCAAAGAAACTGGCAGCAAGTTATCCTGGAGTGTGATGCACTTTAGGTTGTTCAAGCTATTGGCAGCCTTAACTGTGAAACCTCTGTTGATGGATTGTTAATTGAGGATATTAAGTCAAGTTTACGGGGTTTTGAATCCGTTAGAGTTCACCATGTTTGTTGAACCGCTAATTATGCGGCACATTGAATGGTCAAGTTGGCTTTCTTAAGCTTCTGAATCTTCTCCGGAATTCCCTCCTCCAAGATTGTATGCTTTCTTAAGCTTATGAATAAAATAAGCTATCGTTTCCTCTTAAAAAAAAAAACCAAATTTTGTGAAGAATAGCAAAACTGTAAATAAATCAAAATCAGCCTATTTTTACTGTAGCTTATGAATAGTGTCAATTCTTCCCCAACTTTAGACTATAGTAATGATACATGTAAGACCCATTTTAAAAAATAAATGAATTAAAATAAATTTTAAGATTTATAATTGGTGCATTAATGAAACTCACACAATAAAATAATTAAAAAGTTAATTGACATCACATTTTCTCAGAGCATCTCTAAATAAGATGCCAAAATCCTAAATGGAATGCAACTGTGCATATTTGCCATAAAAAAAATATTTCCAACCGAAGTGTTATTTATTGACTGGATTTGAAGGTTTTGAGATTAGAAGTCAAATTTGACATCAATGTCAAATTTTATTTTTAATTAATTGTAATGGTGGTTTCATTTCAACCAATAAAAATGTTGTTTCTGGTGCAGTCCTATTAGATTAGGAATGTAATTGTGTAAATCCTAGTATATCTTGGAATATCTCTTATATTCCTATTAGGAGTAGATTACCCATTAAATGTTGTAATCCTAAAGGAAAAGGTTTATACCTATCCAACTACTTTAAATAAAGGCACAATAGGCTGGAATAACACACATCCACAATTACACATCTCTCTCTTCTTCTTCTCCATTGCTGCACCTTTCTCTCTCTCTAAGGCCTCCATAATTGACACACACCCACAATTACACATCTCTCTCTTCTTCTTCTCCATTGCCGCACATTTCTCTCTCTCTAAGGCCTCCATAATTGTTTAGTAAATTATGCCTTCAACACGTTATCAGCACGCTCTTGACGTTGCGCTAACAAGAGAGTTTTATCTTCCATCAGGGGAGTATTACGTTTTAATCATCATTTTTATGAATAATTTATTATTTTGAATTGATCTACATGCTATTGATTCAATTTAATTTTTATGTGTTGAACGTGATACAACGCATTGGAGATGCAATTCCGGCTTTATGAGAAGGATCTTCTACAAATTCAAAGGTTCTTGTTGTTTTTTGCCAATCAGGTGCGCTTAAATTAAAGTAAGATATTTGAAACAACCATGAAGCATGAAAACATTCCCCATGATGCATGAACCCGTATGTTTATATTTTCCTTCCGATATATATATTGTATATGTTCATATATTTGTCAATATATATTTTTGTTTCATGCATCGCACAATTAAATTGTTATGTGGAATTGTGAGTCAAAGAATTGAAAAAAAAAATTAGAAGCAATTAGGGTTTTTTCAAACCCTAGATTCGGAAAGAAAAAAAACAAAATATGGGTTAAAGTTCTCACAGGCCTGAAGCCCTGAGTCCACCAATAAGCCTGCCAACCTTGCTGGGCTCTGTCCTTGCTCTAGCCTGCATGTAGCAAGCTTTGCTTGTTGGGCTCGTTTTCTATCTCGGCCCACCTTCCATTAGCCAGAAGCTGACTGGACTAACCTCTGTTTGGGCTTGTTCTCGTGTACTGGACCACACTTGACTGAATGTGTTCCTTGGTGCTGAGCTTCACGGCCGCAGCCTCTGACCCAAAAGACAGCGTATGCTGGGCTTTTGCTCATGCCTTATGCCAAACTTTCTGCAACCTTTTTACGGTTGGACTTTGTCTCCTGGCCTGCTGATCTACAACCAAATTAGGCTGCTATGCAGCCATGTAATATAACCTAAGGCCTGCAGCTTGTTGCAGGGCCGTGCCTCACACAACCAGCCCACACGTGTTGGGCTGTGTCCTTTTAAGTTTTTTTTTCGACCCAATGCTAATTTTTTAGCACTTTAAATAATTTTAATCCGAATGTTATTATTATTTTTGCTTCTACGATGGACCCCGTTTGGTCTCAATCTATTGAATTAATTAAAAATGACCTACAGTCCATTAATCTGATAATGAATCCAAAATTATTAACCTGAAGATCACTTTTGAACATTGACGATTCAATAATTTATTTTTATACTTCGAACCGTTGACTTACTTCGTAGTCCCGAAGCTCTCACACTTAAGTTCCCGAAGAACCTTAAATCCACTACACTTAGTTGTATATTGCATTCTGTGTTCTTGTAGGAACCTCTCTTTTATGAACTAATGTTCATAAACTAAATTGAACCATAGTTTCAAATTTAGTGCCTTTGAAACCCGAAGTTTTCATAAAACAATACACCCATGGCAACTCAACGTTTTTTCATGAAAACCATGTCATAGAACTTGAGTGTTCTAAATTTGATGCTTATGGATGATTCATTCCCATAGCACCAATCACAATCTTGTTCCCTTCAAATTCAGTGGATTGTCGAATTGTCACAAGTTTGATTTTCCTGATTTGGATGTTTCTAATAGAAACCACTTTATGTGGGGTACAAGACATGAATCTCCGCTTGACTATTAAGAAGCTGAGAAACCATTGAAGCCAACAATGGCATGGAAAAGCTGAATAAGTCTCCCCCATGATCTTCATTCGAAGACTTATGCTCAAAGCATTACAAATGGAAATACCTCCCGATTGAGGATTCCATGGCTCTTTGGCTCACTCCTACGGACTGTCTAATCATGAAAGACATTGCCTAAAGCACACCATGATTATGTCCATGAATGAGTACAATTCTGAAGTTTATAAATCCGATCGAATTTTTTATTAGAGAAAACTTTTCTAGTCCTTCCATGCTTCGAACTCGCCCCTGAAGTAGCAATGTAAAAAGCATAAGTTTACCAAATTCTCAGATCTGATTACTACCACAAACATATGGTAGAATCAGGGCCTACCAAGGTGTGGCATCATGCCCAAAGCGTGATACTTGGCACTTAAAACCTAAAACTTCAAGAATAAGGGATAGTATTCCTAAACCTCAACCCTGCATAATCTACTTCTGTCTTGATGGAATAGATTATTGGTTATGCACCTGTTCCTGCCCCTACCAATGTTGTTAAGGAGTACCATTCTAGTAGTCAATACATGAGACTCATTTTGCTTCACCAAACGCCGTTGGAAGAGCAGAATTTTGACATGGATGGCCTTGTTGGCCGAATCCCCTTAGTAAACCATTTACTTTGTGAACATTTTTCCATGTTCTTGGATTCACGTTTGGTGTATGTTTTACTTATGGATAATCTTATTGATATTGTCCTCGAATATGAGTTAATTGAATCATGTTTCTTAATACATGTGACCGATTCAATTAAACATGTGATTAGGTAGGAATGTGAGAAAGTTAGTTGTCTAGATGAATGCGTACTACGCACACTAACTTGACACCTAAATCACATCTCTAACAACAACTTCAGGTCTATCCAACCTGATTAAGAGCATTGGCATGCTCCTCGTTGTATGAATGGTACTGAATCACCATTTAAGGGACCTTAAATTCTCCTTGACGTTGAGTTTTTAAGAATATTCGAGATGACAATGATCATAAATGAACCACTGAAGAAAATAGTGTGAAATATCTTTGCACCACCTCTAAAAAATGAGCCCGAAGCTTTAATTAGGGGCCAATGGGTTGTCTCCCAATTAGGACCACGCCATATATGGCTGGGCTGGAGCCAGGTGATTCAAGCAGTTTACTTGTTTTGGCATGACCTTTTGGGACACTTAGGTTGAACAATGATGCTACGACATATCTCCTTACCCAAAGTAAGGATCTTGTGCCTACAAGCACACTTTGCCAAAACCAACTCATTTTGGGAAATTTGATTTCTAAATCATCCCTAGCAAAGATACAAAACAACTCCTTTTTCACAGTGGATTCAAGGGAATATATGTGGACGAATCAAACCAAAATGTGGACCATATAAATACTTATGGTTTTGGTTGATGAATTGACAAACTGGTCACATGTTTGTCTGTAAACATTGCTGCTAAACCTCCTGGCCGATTAAGGGTTCACCACCCTACTTATCCCTTAAGGTCCAGGAGACTGGATAATGCTAGAGAGTTTATATCGACGGTTTTTTATAAAGTATTGCATGTATTTTGGGTTTATAATTAAACATTGAATTCCCATGTTCACCCCAAAGAGCCTCGCCTAGTGATCATTGATAGGAGCATATTTATGCGCCTTAGTTAGTTAGTTCTTATGCATTTATGTTGTGTTTTCTTAGTTAAGTTAGTCTTTTAAGCTATTTTCATGTGCTTTCAGGTTTTAGAGACAAAGTGAGCAAAAGGATGCAATTTGGAGCATTTTGGAGCAAAATTGGGCTAAAATGGAGTTCATGCACATGAAGCACAAGGGATGGACGAATTTGAGGAATTGGTGAAGCTAGGAAGGCGTTTCAAAGTTGAAGAATTGAAGATACAAAGTTTCCTAGTTGAAGAAGGAAATGACTTGAATGAAGGATTCCTAAATGAATTGGGATTCCTAATCACTAAAGGAGTCCTAATTGAAGATGGATTCCTAGATATATGAAGTTTCCTACTCAAGCAAGGTTTCCTACATGAAGAAGAAGAATTAAAAGCCAAAGAATCAGCTCAAGATAAGGAGTATTATCCAAAACCTCATCCATAACCTTATCTTAGCTTATCTTATCCAATCAAACCTTATCCTATCCTATCTTATCCTTATCCTAAACTATCCACATTCCAGCCACTTAGGAGGGTTTCTAATTAGATTAGGATGCTTAAAATGGGATTTCTAGAAGACCTTATCTTATCCTACCAAGATGACACCTAAGAACCTTTCTAGAAGCCTAAAAATCTGCCTTGCATTATCCTTCTAGAAACCACACTTTGTGCCGAATTTTCTACCCTATTTCCTTTAGGATTTTGGTTTCTAGAAGCCTTATCATTTCACACTCTTTGTGCTGGACCTTATCTCCCAATCCCTTTGGGTTTTTGACTTGTTTTCCTTATAGGATTGGATGTTATTATCCTATGCAATTTAGGCCTTTAAAACCTTGTCCTTTGCTACCTAGGAGATGGGATTTTCAGCCTATATATACAACCCATTGCCGCACCCTTTCACTCACCACCCTCTACCAGATTTTCACTAATCCATTCACCAATCATCCCTCATTGTGCCGTGAGTTTGCAAGGAGAAGAAGGAAGACAACTTGGAGCCGTGCATGCCATTCAAGACGTTGGATTGTCGGAGCGTTTCTAGGTGTTTTCTATCTTTGTTTCAATGTTTAAATTCATTTATCTTTGTTTGTTTGCGAACATGAGGAACTAATTTCTTTATAGTTAGAGGGGAATTCAAAGCCATGATCATATGTTTTATATGACTTGATTTCTTCCAATTATGATTTCATGAATCGTGAATGTGGTTTACTTATCTATTTGATTGATAACATGTTTATGTATGTTGATTGAGGGTCGACACTTAGTTTGCATGCATGAATTTGATGCTAGAGTATAAGGGAATTTCACCTAATCGTTATTAACTTATATTCATAAGTAGTAAAAGTCGCTAGTCACGATTGTGTTAAGTAAATCCTAGGCAAGAGTAACATGCGTATCCCATAGTTATGAATGCCTCGTCAATGCTTATGATTTCCATTGAACTTAATGATCTTTGATATGTGTCTCTATCATGCGTATTCCATAGTTAGGGTCCTTGATAAGAATAATTTTGTTGTAATGCGTATCCCATTCAATTCAATGAATCTAGGGAAATCTGAGAATTAATTGGTCAATCTAGTTAATTTGGGGCATTGTCATTCAAGGTTTATTGCTAGAGTAATTGGAAATCGAGTCGTATGCATATGTTTCATGTGTGGAGAAGGAACCTTCTAACTAGCCTTTCACCATCTTAGTTTTCATCAAAACGTTTTTGTCAAAGTTTGTTTTCAAAGTTTCTGTTTTCAAAGTTAAATTCGTCCAAAATCAATCCCCCTTTACTTAGTTGAGTCATAGTAGTTAGAAATCACTTTAGTTTGTGTTTTTAAGTGTCTTAGGTCAAGTTAAAACCAATTTTCGTCCAAGTTTGTGTCTAGTGTTCAAAATTGCCCAGATTGTGGTTTTAAGGCAATTTTGAGTGTTTTTGGGCAGTTTTGAGTCTTTTGGTTTGTTTTGGTGTTTTAAAGTTTAGTTTTGCATTCTTTGAGTCTAGTTTAGTGTTTTAACTTGTTTTTACGTATTTGAGTCAGTTTTCAAGTGATTTTGCAATCCCTCCTAATCCCCGGTTTAGAACGATCCCTACTTACATACTTTGCTACAATTGATAAAAAGAGGGTTAATTTGTGTGTCAATATAATTTTCACATCAAATTTTGGCGCCGTTGCCGGGGATTAGCAAAGTTGCTAATCCCTTGGTTTGTTTTATTTCAATTTGTTTTATTTGTGTCCAGATTCTTACTTTGTTTTTGTTTCTTATTTTTAGGTACTAGTTTATGACTCGGAGCTCTAATCCGGTTCGTGAACACATCTTGGACTTTGACGACGATTTTGAACGAGAGTTGAGACGAAAGAGGAAGAATCCAGAGTCTAGTGAATCAAGTTCAAATCCGGAAGCCGAAGTTGAGATTGAGCAAGAGGAACCCACGGCACAAGTGGGTGAAGTTGAGACAGTCATGGCACAAGACAATCGTACAATCAAGGAGCTCTCGGCCTCGGGATTGGACAATGCCGCACCTCTATGTATTCAATATTCGGCGGCAGCCCAAGGAAAGACCGAGGAATTCGAGTTAAAGTCAAGTTTGTTCCACCATATTCCGAAGTACCATGGGTTGTCCATGGAGGATCCTAACAAGAACTTAAAAGAATTCGAGGTGGTGTGTTCAAGCATGACTCCAATCAATGTCGACGGGAGTATATTGAAGATGAAGGCTTTTCCCTTTTCTCTCATGGAAAAGGCGAAAGATTGGTTGTATGAATTAGCTCCCGGAACGGTCACATCTTGGGAGAGCATGAAACGACCTTTCTTGGAGAAGTTTTTCCCAACTTCTCGAGTCATCCTCCTACGAAAAAGGATAAGTGGAATTCAACAAGAAGAAGGTGAGTCTTTTCCTACATACTATGAACGGTTTAAATCTCTTGTTGCTTCTTGTCCACAGCATCAAATGAAGGAGGAGCTTCTGCTACAATACTTCTACGAGGGACTTCTACCAATCGAACGACAAATGCTAGATGCTTCGGCGGGAGGAGCTTTGGTGGACAAGACCCCCACGGCAGCAAAGACTTTGATTGCCAATCGAGCGTTGAACGCTCAACAATACAAAGGTGTTGGACAAAGAGGCACCCCACGGCAACACCAAGTGAATGAGGTAAGTGCCATAACCGAACTTCAAAATCAAATGGCTAACCTTACTACTTTGCTTTCTCAGGTTGTGGAAGGGCCAAAAGTTCAAAATGTAAGTGCGTGTGGCGTGTGTTCCATGCAAGGACACCCTACGGACAAGTGCCCATAATTGATTGAGAATGGAGGGTGGGAAACCCTCAATGCCGTGGGCTTTGGGCAGCAATACCAACAAAGGAATGATCCCTTTTCTAACACCTACAATCCCGGTTGGCGTGATCATCCAAATTTCAAATGGCGAGAACCCCAACAAGGCCAACAACAAAGCACGTTTAGGCAACAACCCCCGGGTTTCTATCAAAAGCCGTTTGCACCAAATCAAACCCAAGCACAACCCGCCCAAAAATCAGGTTCTTCTATTGATAATGATCAAATTTTTAATTTACTAACTTCTATGGCACAGGGCATGCAGACTAGGGACAAGAAGGTGGACGAGTTGGAGAAGCAAGTGGGGCAAATTGCCGAGTTTATGGGACAGTTTCGAGACCAAGGAAGACTCCCCAGTTCAACCGTTGCAAATCCAAAAGGGGGATTCGAAACTGCCAAAGCAATTACATTGAGGACTGGCAAACAAGTTGGAACTGAACCCCAAGCATCCAAAACAAGTCATGAAGAGGATGAAAAGTTGCAGTTTGAAGAGAACACACAAGCAAAACCCACGGCAAGGAGGGAACCACCTTTGCCGCAGCCATCTTGCACTTCCAATCCATATAATTCGGCCAAGGTAAGTTCAATCCCGAATTCCCCTAGTTCTATTCCACTAAACGTGCCTTTTCCTGGCAGGTTGAAGCAATCCAAGAAGGAGGAGAACGAGAAAGACATTTTGGAGACGTTTCGGAAAGTGCAAGTCAATATACCTCTTCTTGACGCCATTAAGCAAGTACCAAGGTACGCCAAGTTTTTTAAGGAATTATGCACAACAAGAAGGAGAATTTCGAACAAAGAGGTGGTCCAGGTAAGTGAGAATGTTTCCGCTGTTTTGCAAAGAAAACTACCTCCTAAATGCAAAGATCCAGGTAGTTTTACAATTCCATGTGTTATAGGGAATACTAAATTTGAACATGCTATGTTAGATCTAGGAGCTTCAATTAACGTCATGCCATACTCAATATATGCATCCATGAACTTAGGAGAACTTAAAAACGATGGTGTTATAATTCAATTAGCCGATCGTTCTAATGCATATCCGAAAGGAGTTTTGGAAGATGTGTTGGTGCAGGTGGATAACTTGATATTTCCAGCGGATTTCTATGTCTTAGAGATGGAGGACTCACCAAATGTCACCCCATTGCCGATTCTACTTGGGAGGCCTTTCATGAAAACAACACGCACCAAGATCGATGTGTTCAAAGGGACGTTGACAATGGAATTTGATGGGGAGATTATTAACTTTAACATTTCTGAAGCTATGAAATTTCCTAAAGATGATCATTCTTGTTTTTTCTATTGATATATTGGATGAATTGGCGCAGGATTATCTTGATATGTTGGAAGACGATCCCCTTGAAACGACGATTGCACAAGGACTTGGCATGAAGCCCAATCTGGCCGTACCTAAGGAGGAGCATGCCGAGCTTGTGGCTGCCTTGGAATCATTGCCCCAACATCGTGGTAAACCTTCTAACCCAATTCCAATTCCCGTTTCCACTAATACGTTGTTACCTTCTGTGATTCAGGCCCCCGTTCTTGAGCTTAAACCGTTGCCGGATCATTTAAAGTATGTATTCTTGGGAGATAGAGAGACGTTGCCCGTCATTGTCTCTTCATCACTCACGGCATTAGAGGAAGAAAAGTTGATTCGGGTGTTGAAAGAGCACAAAACAGCCATTGGATGGACATTGGCCGATATTAAGGGAATTAGCCCTACAACATACATGCATCGCATATTTCTAGAGGAGGGGGCTAAACCAACTCGAGAGGCTCAACGCCGGCTCAACCCTCCGATGATGGAAGGCGTGAAAAAGGAGATTATAAAGTTTCTCGATTGTGGAGTGATTTATCCAATTTCGGATAGCCATTGGGTCTCACCGGTTCAAGTTGTCCCGAAGAAGTCCGGAGTTACTGTGGTGAAGAATGCCGAGGATGAGCTTGTGCCAACCCGTATTCAAACAGGTTGGAGAGTGTGCATTGACTATAGGAAGCTCAACACACCACAAGGAAGGATCATTTTCCACTACCATTCATCGATCAAATGTTAGAAAGGTTAGCCGGTCATTCTTTTTATTGCTTTCTTGACGGTTATTCGGGATACAATCAAATTGTCATAGCTCCGGACGACCAAGAAAAGACCACCTTCACGTGCCCATTTGGTACTTTTGCTTACCGGCGCATGCCATTCGGATTATGCAATGCACCGGCCACGTTCCAAAGATGCATGGTAAGTATCTTTTCCGATTTTATTGAGAAGATTATTGAGGTATTCATGGATGATTTTAGTGTCTTTGGCGATTCGTTTGATGGTTGCTTGGAAAATCTCACATTAATCTTAAAACGATGCGTGGAAACGAACCTTGTTTTAAATTGGGAAAAGTGTTACTTTATGGTAAAACAAGGCATCGTTTTAGGGCATATCATTTCTGAAAGGGGAATCGAAGTTGATAAATCGAAAATAGATCTTGTACGCTACTTACCCTCTCCAACTTCGGTTAGAGAGGTTCGTTCTTTTCTTGGCCACGCAGGATTTTATAGGCGATTCATCAAGGACTTTTCAAAGATTTCCACACCCCTATGCCGACTTCTCCAAAAGGATGTGACCTTCGACTTCAACGAGGAATGTGAAAAGGCGTTCAAACACCTCAAAGAGATGCTAACTTCGGCCCCCATCATTCGGCCACCAGATTGGAGCATTCCCTTCGAGCTTATGTGCGATGCATCCGACTATGCTCTAGGCGCTGTTTTGGGACAAAGGAAGGACAAACAAGCCACACACGTCATATATTATGCCTCTCGGACCTTAAACGATGCTCAATTGAACTATTCCACAACGGAAAAAGAACTTCTTGCCGTTGTTTTTGCTTTAGATAAGTTTCGTTCTTATTTACTTGGCACTAAAGTAATAATCTACACTGATCATGCAGCGTTGAAGTACTTGCTCACGAAGAAGGAGGCTAAACCAAGGCTTATTCGATGGATTGCTTCTCCTCCAAGAGTTCGATATCGAAATCCGAGACAAGAAAAGGAAGTGAGAACGTTGTGGCTAATCACCTTGAGCCGTTTGGTGCATGAAGAGGAGGTTGTGGCCGATCCCAGAGACATTCCCGGACGAGCAATTGATGTCCATTGAGGTTAGTATGCCATGGTATGCGGATTTAGTTAATTATTTAGCATCTAAAGTCATTCCAAGTGAGTTCAATAAAAGCCAACGTGATAAACTTAAGTATGATGCACGAAATTATGTGTGGGATGATCCTTATTTATGGAAATATTGCTCTGATCAAATCATTCGTAGGTGTGTGCATGATTCTGAAATTCAGTCTATTTTAAACTTTTGTCACACTTATGCATGTGGAGGTCACTTTGGCACTCAAAGGACTGCACGTAAAGTACTTGAATGTGGTTTTTATTGGCCTACTATTTTTTAAGGATGCTAGAACTTTTTGCATTGCATGTGATCGTTGTCAACGAACTAGAAATATAGGACCAAAAGACCAAATGCCGCATAGTCCCATCTTTAATGTTGAAATTTTTTATGTGTTGGGCATAGATTTCATGGGTCCCTTTCCTTCATCTCATGGTTTTGTTTATATTCTACTTGCGGTTGATTATGTTTCGAAATGGGTGGAAGCAAGAGCCACCCGTACTAATGATTCTAAAGTGGTTGCAGATTTTGTTAAGACTAACAATTTTGCAAGGTTTGGAATGCCGCGGGTACTTATAAGTGATGGGGGCTCTCATTTCTGCAATCGCACCATTGAAGCGCTACTCAAGAAATATGGTGTCACGCATAAGGTGGCAACACCTTATCATCCTCAAACAAATGGGCAAGCGGAGGTGTCAAATAGAGAAATCAAGCAGATTTTGGAGAAGACCGTAGGGCCAAACCGGAAAGATTGGAGCTTGCACTTGAATGATGCATTATGGGCGTATCGTACAGCCTACAAAACACCAATTGGAATGTCCCCATTTCGGCTCATTTATGGGAAACCATGCCATCTTCCGGTTGAATTGGAGCATAAAGCACATTGGGCCATCAAAACCTTTAATATGGACATTGATGCCGCAGGTCTTCATAGGAAACTTCAATTGAACGAGCTTGAGGAAGTTAGGAATGAAGCTTACGAGAACTCTCGTATTTACAAGGAGAAAACGAAGGCATTCCATGACAGGATGATTCGGAGCAAGACGTTCTCTATCGGGCAGAAAGTGCTACTTTTCAATTCTCACCTTCGGTTATTTCCAGGTAAGTTGCGTTCTAAATGGATTGGACCTTTTATTGTTACTAATGTTTTTCCGCATGGTGCAGTTCAAATTCAAAGTTTGAAGACGCAACAAGAGTTCAAAGTCAATGGACATCGGTTGAAGCCATATTTCACACCTTTTGAGGAGGAGACCGTGGAGGAAGTCAATCTCCAACCCGTGGGCCCTATTCAAGCTTGATTGGAAGCATCGTCCGGCTGGAAGACGTTAAAGCAAGCGCTTCTTGGGAGGCAACCCATGCAAATAAAGAGGACCTAGGCAGCTCTGGCATCATAATCAGATTTGCGTTTCTAAACCCTACTCTTTATTGCTTTTACTTTGCCATATTTGTCATGTTTGCTAGTTGTGTTATTTTTGCTTGTTTTTGTGTGAGTCTATGTTTGAAACATTGAGGACAATGTTTGGTTTAAGTGTGGGGGGGGTAAACAAAGTGTTTTTGTGTTAAATTCGTAGGATTTATCACCTAACATTTCAAAGGTTGTTTTTCATTGTTTTTAAGTGTTTTTAGAAAGTTTTGATGTGTTTTATTGTGGCTTTACCAGAAAAATCCGAAAATTCAAGAAAAAAAATAGAAAAAGTTTTGAAAAAACCAAAAAGAGTCGTTTTAAAAGTTGTTTTTGTGTGTTTGTGTCTTAGAGTTACCTTCCAACACATGATGAGGATTTGGTTTTTAATTGCATGACGTTAAAGAAAGTTACAAACATGGATGGAAGTTGATTGCCTTTTGTTTAT